GGCAGCCCAGCAGGGCTGAGAGCCTGTGGAAGCCCACACCATGCGCCACGCAGCAAGGGTGCCTTGGTGCAGCCTGAGGATAGCTGTGAAGCTCTCGGGCCTTTGCTCCTCTTGTTCCTCTTCCTGTGTCCATAGGCAGTGGCTCTGAGAACTGGTAGCAGAGGCGCGCGTGTGTGTGTGAATGGTGTCCGTCCTTGCCTGCCTGGAGTCTAGCTCCTTGGATTTTCTCATGGAGGTAGAGCTGGATGTGCTGTAGATGCTCACCTCTGTAGTATGTCGAAAAGGTCTGCAGTTTGCTGGCTGATGTTGGACCCAAGAAGCCATTCACCTTTGGGTCTGGTGCTGCTGTGTGCTCTTCACTCTAGAGGTCTGAGCAGCAGGATTCCCAGAATGTGGGTGGAGTGAGGTGGGGGTGGGGTGGTAAGGGGCATGGGGGTGAGGTGCTCTCTGTGTCAGAGGTGAACTGTGAGAGTGGTACAGAGGGGAGAGGGAGAGTGAAAAAAGGCTCATCAGTGGCCAAGCTCTGTATGGAGCTATTGGAAAAGCACATTCTTTGGGCAGCTGGAAACCAGAGAAGATTCGTTTATAATTACTGTATATTCAGTAGGGAGCTTCTGGGAGGTGAGAACATTCTTTTCTGGCCTCTTTCTCTAGATCCCTCAACTTACCCTTCTTGGGCTGGCATACAAATGGTCACTCAGTTGGTACCCAGAAGGCACTGACTGACACAAATTGAAAAATAACTTGTCTTATCACAAGGAGAGTTGTGGTTTTATTCTTGGTAAGTTCCCAGGGACTTGGTCAGCATGCTCTTCATACCTTTGTGTGTGCCGCATGCGTGCGTGTGTGCGACAGAGAGAGAGAGAGAGAGAGACAGACAGACAGACAGACAGACAGACAGACAGAGAGACAGAGACACAGAGAGACAGAGACACAGAGAGACAGAGACAGAAACAGAGAGAGACAGAGAGACACATACAGACACACAGACACACAGACAGACACGGATAGAGAGTATTGGAGTTGGGTAGGAAGAGGAGGGAATGGAAGACAGGAAGATAGACAGTCCATGGCAGCTCCCCCACTGGATAGACAGCAGTGTTGTTGTCAAGGAAACCCTGGGGGAGAAACAAGTTAGAGGGTAGGTGTTGAAGGGTAGTGTACATATGTATCATTTGGGTAGGTTAATTAAGGTGTCTATGGAACCTAGGTAACCAGCAGAAAGATAGGGAATGGAGACAACTTGGGGAATGGTCATTGTTTAAATCAGAAACCCGAGTGAAAGGTGGAGTGTTAATCAAGGAAAGAGGCTGAGAAAGTGTGTGTGGTAAGTTGAGGGGACATGAGTGGGCGTGGCACTTGGGAATTAAGGCATCCTTCGTATCCCTCTTCCTATCCAGAGAATTCATTTCTTCCTTTCTGTTTGGTCATTCATGCCATCTTGGGAGCAAGGAAAGTGAGAATAAGGATTTTCGGACGATACTAGTTTGGGGTGTGTTCTTCCTAGTTTTAACCAGCACTCCAAGCCCGTTGGGTGTTTGTGAGACCTTAAGAGTTCGTCTATCCAATCCTTGCAATTTATGAATGGGAAAATAGATACCCTGAAAGTAGATGGAAATTGTCAAGGATCATCCAGTAAGTCACTAATGGAGCTGTACTGGGGTCTGGGAATCCCGCTTTTATTTGGGGTTCTTTAAGTTAGCATCTTTCTGCAGGGGCAACACAGGACACTTCACCATGCAGGTGTATCCTTGAGGGTGACTTGGCAGACCACATGTGAACTTGTGTCTTCTGAGTTAGTTTCAGAAAGTATAAACAAGCTGGTAGGAAGGCAACCCAGATGCCTCTTGGGTTCTTGTAAAGAGGGTTCTGTGTCTCAGTATCTCTGGAATCAAAGAGTAGTGTAGGGAACAGATGGTGTGGGGGCCCCTGAAGGAAGAACCAGTGATGGGTTGTGAGTTTTCTGTACCTTGGGATCTCCCAGCGCTCTTGTCCTAGGACTGGAGAGTCGAGTCTCTAAGCCTAGTAGGTCTTGTGGGAAAGCGTGGACTCCCTAAGGACCTTCACTGCTTGAAAGTTTCAGGGTTGTGAAAATGAGCCATTAAGCTTTCTGTTGTCCAGTGTGCCCAGTAAGAATTATTTGGAGCCTGGGTAGATGGCTCAGTCAATAAAGTGCCTGCTGCACAAACATGAGGACCTGAGTTCAGATCCCCAGATCCCAGGCTTGGAAGCATATGTCTGTAGCCCCAGTGCTGGGGTGGGGAGCAGGAATGGAGACACACCCATTCCTAGAACTCAGCCTACCTGCACCAATGAGACCCAGGTCAGGGAGGGACCCTGCATCAATGAGACCCAGGTCAGTGAGGGACCCTGCATCAATGAGACCCAGGTCAGTGAGGGACCCTGCATCAATGAGACCCAGGTCAGTGAGGGACCCTGCATCAATGAGACCCAGGTCAGTGAGGGACCCTGCATCAATGAGACCCAGGTCAGTGAGGGACCCTGCATCAATGAGACCCAGGTCAGTGAGGGACCCTGCATCAATGAGATCCAGGTCAGTGAGGGACCCTGCATCAATGAGACCCAGGTCAGTGAGGGACCCTGCATCAATGAGACTCAGGTCAGTGAGGGACCCTGCATCAATGAGACCCAGGTCAGTGAGGGACCCTGCATCAGTGAGACCCAGGTCAGGGAGGGACCCTCGCTCACAATTTGTGGAAAGCAATCAGGGAAAATAATGTTGATTTTTGGCCTCCGGATACACACACACCAGTACACACCCATAGGAACATATGTGTACAAAGTACACAGACACATTTAAAACCAAAATCTCTTGGGCTTTTTGTTAATTATCTACTTCTGTCCCTCCCAAGGTCAGCTGAATTGAACTGAGATTGTGTATTGGTGCCAGTTACCCCAGGAAATTCTGTTGATAGGATTGAGGTGCATTGTACAAGCTGACCACAAACATAGTTCTAGATCAGAGTGCCTGCTCACCTCAGGTCATCTTGGAAGGTCAGAGCTGGGACAATAGCAGTCTTGTTAAGACCTCCCCAAAAGGGAGGTCATAGCCCGGATTTGAGGCACAACTTTTTTGAGTTTGAGGCTCTCCTTCATTGAGCTCTGTGGTCGTCAGAGAGTCAAAGGATGACGTTCTGCTGAGGCCTGCCTGTTGGTGCAAAAGTGAGTTGGTCCAAGTGGTAGGCCTTGTTGACTAGCCGAAGCATCTGACCTTATGTGCAAGACCACACAGCTTTCACCACAAAGGTGATATGATCAGAACTGTGTCTCAAGAAAATTAACCAATCGGAACAGGTCCTGAGCTAAGGACGGAGAGATGAGATTGAGGAGATTTCCAGGCAGGTGGCAGGTGGCAGCTGTCCAGAAATGCTCACCAGGCAGGGGGAGCAGGCTCACGGCTTCCTTTGCTAGAGGAAGATTCTAGAAGGGCAAATCTCCCTGAACATGTGAGCTGCGTTGTTTTTTTGTTTTTTGTTTGTTTTGTTTTGTTTTTTGTTTGTTTGTTTGTTTTTTATGAACAGGACAGATTGGGGTCTGCACCGGGGTGGGCAGGAGTAGTGGTTCCCACTCGTGTATTTCAGGAGCCTCTGGTCTGGTTAGTGTCTCTCCCTGTGTTTGTTCTAGTGCCTGGTTTGTTTCACATATGAAGCTGGCCACAGCACAGTAAAAGTCCCCCAAATGACAGCATTATTTCAGTGATGATGTAGACTTAGGAAATAGTGCGTTAGTGAACTGCAAGGAGTTTCTTGACAGCACAGTTTTTTCAGTGCCTTTGGGCATAGTTCTCCATTGAGCATGCTGGGGCTCATGTTTCTGGATCCTATTTTGAGGATCTCTGAGGATGGTGGAGCACTATGAGCCTGGACTTGCAGTCTTGAGTCTCTGCCTGATTCCCTGTGTGTATCTGGGCCACTTGGTGCACTCCACAGGCCCCTTCCCTCTGTTTCTGACCACCATGTCAGAATCTGCTGGCTGCCTTCCTAGTCTTCTGAGCCAAGCACTTCTTACTGGCCCATTTCTCTGACCTGAGGACAGAAACTCTGGAGCCATCCTGACCTTGCCTTTTTGGTTCATATTCTTCATCAGCAATGAAGTGTGTTTGTTTGTTTTTCGAGACAGGGTTTCTCTGTAGCTTTGGAGCCTCTCCTGGAACTCTGAAGACCACGCTGGCCTCGAACTCTCAGAGATCTGCCTGCATCTGCCTCTCGAGTGCCACCTCAACTTGGGGTTTTTTGTTGTTGCTGTTTTCTTCTTTTTTAATGATCTTCCCAGCTGTTCCTTTTGTTTCTCCTCCTTCCCTTCCGGGGTCTCATTGCCTCCATCCTCCTCCGTTCTTCTCCTCACACACTACACTCCTCCTTTGTTTTCTTAGTTAGGTTTTTTTCTAGTTACCCCCCCTCCCGCTAGTTAGGTTTTATTTATTTTGGGTTCCCCCTACCCCTGAGACAGGGTTTCTCTGTGTAACCTCCCTGACTGCCCTCGATTTGCTTTGCAGACCAGGCTGGCCTCAAACTCAGAGATAGGCCTGCCTCTGCCTCCCTGAGTGCTGGGAATAAAGGGTGCCACCACGCCCTGCTCAGATTAAGTTTCGAAAGAGCCGTGTTAGTCCTTTGTCCAAAAGCACACAGCTGGCAGGTGTCAGAGCTAGGTCTCAAGCTCAGGATTTCTGAGAAAGTGCCTTCTCATCTGTTCTCACTGATCTGTACTGCAACAGTCAAGTGGTCCGAGCAGAAATTGATTCGTTTCCAGGGCAGCCCAAGGGGGAGAGGGAGGGTCTCTTGGGCAGGGGGTATTCCGTAGGTCATGGACTGTCGGGTTTGCCCGGAACTAGGAGTTCCTGGAACAAGGATTTTCCTGAGGTGACTGGCCACACTAGCGCTGGGCATGGATGCCCTTTCTGCAGTGTCCCGTGTGCCCCCTGCAGGTCTGTGGCATGGTGTCTCCTGCGGCTCGCTAACTTCTTCCTTCCACCTCTCTAGTTGGCCCCATGGTGATTGACTTTAATATTGCTGTGGATCTGGAGCTTTTGGCAAAGAAGAACCCAGAGATAAAGACGGGCGGTCGTTACTCCCCCAAGGACTGCATTTCTCCTCACAAGGTGGCCATCATTATCCCATTCCGCAACCGGCAGGAGCATCTCAAATATTGGCTCTATTATTTGCATCCAGTCCTACAGCGCCAGCAACTGGACTATGGTATCTACGTCATCAACCAGGTGAGGTTTGGGAAGACGGCATGAGGGAGGTGGAAGTTGGGTACACAAATGCGTGCTCAGTTAGTACTAAGGGAAGGGAGTGATTTCATATATAACCAGGTGAGGTTTGGGAAGACGGCATGAGGGAGGTGGAAGTCGGGTACACAAATGTGTGCTCAGTTAGTACTAAGGGAAGGGAGTGATTTCATATATAACCTGGCATGTCACAGCGTCGTGCCAACTCTGCCACTGCTCCCGTCCTTATTTAAACTGTGCAGTGAGCTGAGTGCCAAGTGGTATGCTTGCTTGTTGATAATCCGCTCTGTTAGCCAAGGGAAATAGGAAGGGTGTGTTTGGGTTTTGGAAGTAACCTTCCAGCAAAAATGAAAGGAAAAAAAGACACCTCCAATTATCACTGATTATAATTTTAAGGTAACTGTATATTTTTCTTCCTACTTTACAAAAAAATCAAAAACAATAATCCATTTTTGTGTCAGATCTTTGGATAACTTTGAAGTTGATCCAGCTGGACAGTGTTTCTTCCAGGGCATCCATAAGAGACCATATACCAAGTTGAGGCTGTATGTATCTGCAGCCAGCCCTTAGTGAAAAGTCTGGGAAAATCCTATTCAAGAGCCTCAGAGAGTGACGCAGACTAGGCTGAGTTTCCCATTGCACATCAGATCACATCTGTCAGGCTGTTGTCTGCTTAGGACATGAATGCTGTCACCAGGACCTTGAGACTCAGGAAAATCTAAGAACCCTTTTAAAGGTTCTTGTGAGACAGGGTCTCACTATGGAGCCTGGCTGTCCTGGAACACACTCTGTAGATCACGATGGCCTCACACTCACAGGTGTATCTGCCTGCCTCTGCCTTCTGGGGGCTGAAATTAGAGGCATGCACCAAGAACTTTAAAAAATGATTTATTTAACTTTATTTTATGTGCACTGGTGTGAAGGTGTCAGATTTCCCAGGAACTGGAGTTATAGACAGTTGTGAGCTGCCATGTGGTTGCTGGGAATTGAGCCCAAGTCCTCTGGAAGAACAGTCAGTGCTCTTAACACTGAACCATCTCTCCAACCCCATACTTTTTAAAAAAATAAATACAAATAAAGAGCTTTGCTTATTTTAGTATGCTTAATGAGTGTTGTTGCTTTTTCCATGAATATAACTTTGATGTTTCAGGTTTATCCCCAACACTTAAATTCATGTTTATACTGTAATCTCCTAGGTGGGTTGAAAGGCCTGAGTTATCTGTGTGCCAGATTTCATGGAAATGTGTTTAAAGAGACAGTTTCAAGGTCAACATTGAGCCTGTTTGAGGTAGTAAGGTTGCTGTTTTCTGCTTGCCTTTTGACTGTATGTTACTTCAGGGAAGGTAGAGTAGTTGTTTACCCATCTAGCTGAGGCTCCTATGGTACGATGCTGCCTCAGTTGCTACAGGGCTGTTCTAGTGTAAGATTCTGCCATCCTGAGGCTCCCAGCCCACTTTAGGCAGCTGAGACTTTGCTATGAAGCACTTTTTTAACAATGAAAAGTAGCTGTGAGTTGGGCTGTGGTGGCACACGCCTTTAATCCCAGCACTCAGGAGGCAGAAGCAGGCGGATCTCTGTGAGTTCGAGGCCAGTCTGGTCTACAGAGTGAGTTCCAGGACAGCCAGGGCTACACAGAGAAAACAAAACAAAACAAAACCAAAAAATGTGATTGGATGATGAGTGTCCAATGCTTTGGAAGCTTTGAGGAAGGAGAGAAGGCTGTGCCCTGCTAATCTAGTACAGGGGTTCCTAAGTATGTGAGAAGGTAGATCTCATTGGTATAGAGCTTTCCATGCACCGGCACACTGTGACCTCTGCAAGCTCTTCCTGGACTAGTCTAGAGAATTGTCTCCAGTGATGAGTGTTGTGTGAGTCACACTTTGGGGAAAACAACCCTAAGTCAGCCCCCTCTCTACTTCCTCCTACTCTCCCTGGAATACTAGGAACTCCTTTCTCTTGTTCCCTACTAGCATCTTAATACCAGAAAAAGAATCTTTTTTAGGAGTTGGGGTGTAGCTCAATGGTAGAATGCTGCCAAGCATTCAAGTGCTTGTCTTTGAGCTCCAGCATTGAAGAAAAGAAAAAAAAACAATCATGAGTGCTTCCTCTTCACTGTTGGCTAGGACCTAGACCCTAGAGGGCAGGAAGTGTACGTTCTGCTGTGTGTCACAGCTAAGAGACTCAGAGGGTGGGAATAGCCAGCAGAGGACCTACTGGTCGCCAATAACAGTAGGCTGCAACTACACCCCAACCCAGACTCCAGGGTTATGCCCTCCTCCTGGGTCACGGTAGCTCTTTCTGAGACCATTTAACCTCTTCTTGGGGGTGTTTCTCAAAGCCCTGGTATCCAGGGCTGGGAGCCATTTCCCAGTCAGTGATCCTGGGCAGGCCACATCAGCCCTTGACAACTCGGTTCCCTCCAAGATAGGAGAGAAAGTTAGTATTTCCTCACTGTGCTGGGAAGCACCTGCTGTATGGCAAACCCTTAGTAAATATTAGCTGTTATTGTCTTGATTTCTTTCCCCTCTCCGCACTCTTCCTGCCTCTTGCCTCTGCCTGGTACTTTACTGATAAAGTCTTTATTGTTCCCGCTATCAGGATCTTGCCTCCCACCTGTTGGGGCCTCTGTGGGGTCAGAAGGTAATGAATAGTGGTGGGAGTCTTCCGAGAGTGCGTACTCTCTCGGAAGACTCAGGGACGGAGCCTTATGTCTTATAAACTTCTTTAGAGAGGGTTGTGTCTCGAGTCCCCCACACAGAAATGAACTCCCATGAGTTTTTACGGTTTATACTTCTGTCTATAGGAAGCTCTTGACCTCGTTCAATGTAGCCCCCCCCCAGCCACTTTGAAACTTAAAGCTCAAAATAAGTGTGCTTGAGGGGATGGGAGGGGCTTCCCAATTGTTGCAGAGGAACAAGTCTGGCTTTTGTCCTTTGGGTTTCTGTTTCTCCTCTTGCCGTAACATGTGCGGGTCCTGTTAGAGTCCCCACACATCCTCTTGAGCGCCATGGTCCTTCTTTGAGATGGATACCCAGCTAAGTCCAGCGCTGGGACGGACCTTGATGTGGATACGAATGCCAAGGTATCATACAGCAAACAGGGAGGCATTGTGTCCCTCATTCTTTAGTCAGGAAAAGACAAAGCCAGGTAATGGGAAGGCATTGACCTGGTACCACCAACCTTAAATGAAAAAAGAAATGCAAACTGCTTTGGGGACTATCCATCATAAAAATTACACACTGGATCATAACTGTGACAGTCCTTTGTCCCAGAGTCAGCAACTAGGAGTGGTATCTGTAGTTCCATTTATATGGCTTCTGACACCGTTGGTCTCCTCATTCAGATGCTCAAGATCCTTCTGCTTCTGACCCTGTCACTAACCCTTTTTAGACCCTTCAATAATGTCCCTACTGCCTCCGGCACGGTCCACAGTGATTGACACCTCAGTGTGTGATACCAGACACTTGTCACCTTCTTGTGCCTTTGCTGACACTGCCCTCCCCGCCTTTTCTGGATACATTTTAAGCTTCTTTCCTCTACCTCAGTAGCTCTGTGAAACCCCTGGAGTACAGGTGACTTCTCCCTCTTCCTTGTTCCTAACCCACTTGGCGGAAGGGATGGTCATGTATTTTGTGCCTCATCTTGGCCCTGGATTTCCAGTTGCTGGCCAGACTTATCCCCGTATCTCTGATCGTGCAGCTCCTCCGCAGTCCAGTGTAGACTCTGTAGGGTTTGGAATATGGAGTATCTTTCCTTGTATCCTGTCCATTTCTTTATACGCACACTCAGGATGCCAGCTCCTGGTTCTCTGACTGGGTTCATCCCTGCTGGAAGCAAAGTCTCCTTTCCTAGCTTGGCCAGATCATGACCCTTGCAAAACTGGCACTGTCCCTCCCCAGCACCCTTCCCTTGAAGTCCCTGTCAGTTGCTGGGCGTGGGCTGCCTGTGATCTGTCCCTTGGTGTAGCCTTCCTTTTTGGGAAAGATACATTGTATTTTAGCCCGGTGTTTATTCATGGTCATAAAACTCATTTTTGAAGCCGGGCATGATGGCGCACACCTTTAATCCCAGCACTCAGGAGGCACAGGCAGGGAGATCTCAGTGAGTTTGAGGCCAGCCTGGTCTATGAAATGAGTTCCAGGACAGCCAGGACTGTTACACAGAGAAACCCTGTCTCGAAAAAACCAAACCAAGCCGAGTGTTGGTGGCACACGCCTTTAATCCCAGCACTCGGGAGGCAGAGGCAGGAGGATCTCTGTAAGTTCGAGACCAGCCTGGTCTACTGAGCAAGTTCCAGGACAGCCTCCAAAACAATACAGAGAAACCCTGTCTTGAAACCCCCCCAAAAAATGAATAAATAAATGAAAACCAAACAAAAACAAAAAAACCCTCATTTTTGAGCCAGACATGGTCAGTTCGTACCTGTAATTGTAGTAAGAAAGAGGAGGATTGTGAGTTTGAGGCTAACCCCCACTACATAGTGTGTTCAAGGGTACCTGGGCTATATAGCAAGACCAAAACCAAAAGCAAAGTCTTTTGTGTTCCTTTGTATTTTGACTTTCTCCATGAGGGCTTCTCTTTGTCCCTGCTATCAAGGGGGCAAAGGTAAGCATATCATGGCCGGTAGCAGAGCTGGGGTTAGACAGAGGTGCTGAGGAATATCCTGTTTGTTTCTAGAATGCACCACAGACACTTGCCCATGTGAGATGGGCAGCGGCTTATGTGTAATAGCCACAGAGACCCCAGACCTGGAGCCTTTCTCACTTGTATGCTTCCAGGTGAACCTGCCTCTGAGAAAGCGGGAGAGCCCAGCCTGGGCTAGGATGACAGGTGGTGCTCTGTCTGATTGTGACTTTGTTCTGTCTTGGTTTTTTATTTCAAAGATATTTGTGTGTGTGTGTGTGTGTGTGTGTGTGTGTACATGAGTGCAGGTGCCCACAGAGGCCAAAAGAGGGCATCAGATCCACTGGAGCTCAAGTCATGGC